CTCGGCCGCCACTCATCGGTGAAGATCTCGTTGCGGGCAATGTCCACGCGGTTCCAGGCCACTGCCAGCTTGAGCTGGTGGAGCCAGTTCTTGTGGCCAACGTGGCTGTGGCTGCGGGAGGCTACCGGGAGCGCGGAGGGGCGTGGGCAGGCCGCCCTGGCCCCGCCCCGGCCCCAGCCCCTGGCCCCGGCCTCGGGGTGCCCGACGTCCCCCACCCGCGGGGACAGCGCAGAGCGAGGCTGGGGAAGGCCACGCAGGGCCACGCCAACCAGGGGGTGGGGGTGGCGGGTGGGCGGCTCTCCCCAAACTTGGCGGGACCCGTGAGGGCCAGGAGAGGCCCTGCGGCCCGCACAGGGCTCTGACCTGCGAGGTCGGCGGGCGGGCACCCCTGGCCTGCGGCCCTCGCAGCTGCCCCTTCCCGGTGTCAGCAGCCTGGTGCCTTGGGGCCTCCAAACGGGGTCCCAGCCCTGGTGCCGCCCTCCCCGCCGCCCCGCCCGGGTCACCTTTCAACAAGGCCTGTAGAATGGCCACGTCCATGTCCTGCTGGCCGTCCTTGCCCTCCCGGAAGACGGTCAGCAGCTGCTGCTTCCTCACGATGTCCTGGATCTGCACAGGAGACGGTTCCCAGGGATTTGCGCCGGCCACACTCGCGCCCACCAGTGGCCAGCCCGGGTCCTGGGCCCAGACGTGGCGCCCGCCGGTGGCCACAAGGGGCTGCTCAGCCCGGGGCCAGTCCCGCACAGCCACCCGCACGTGTCCGGTGCCTCTCGGCCTGTCCATCTCCCCCCAACCCGACACGCCCGGCCGGGCCCCCGGCCCTCACCTGCCCGCACAGCACAGCCGCTCCCCGTGCCCGCCCCGTGCCCACCCACAGGACCGAGTCCCGAGACCCCGCTGGGCACGCGCCACGGGCAGGCCACGCAATGAGGACACGCTGCCCCTCGCCTGGTGGCCGTGGGCTGCGAGCCCTGTGGGACGTCCGCGTGGCGAGGGCAGCACCGTGCGGTCCCCACCACAGGCGGACGGCCTGCGGCTAGGAGCCCCCCTGAAGACAACAGTGGGAGCGGCCTGGGGGCCCCACCTTCAGCCCAGGGCGGTTCCGAGGGCGGGCCCCCACTGCGGACGACGCCGAGCCCTGCCCACGCCGGGCTGGGGTTCCCGGGCTGCAAGGAGACGGTCCAGGCTGACCGCTGCCAGGAGCCCCGGGTCGGCGAAAACGGACCTGGGGTCAGTGGGGAGCCCGGGCCTGACTCCAGCTCCCCCCAGGTGGCCAGGGCCCAAGGGCCACACCCCACAGGCCACGGCCCCCGGACCTGGGGAGCCGGGGCCCCAGGGAACCTAGGGCCACGCCGGGGCTGAGGCCTCCAGGTCCACGCAGGAGAGTCCAGCAGCCCTCCCGGCCTGGAGAGAGGCCATCGGGCCCCTCCTCACGCACGGTGTGCACCCCCAGCGGGGCCCCAAGTCAGGACAGGCCGGCACGGCCCACTGGGGTGAGACAGCAAGGCCAGCGCAGCACGGCCACGTCGGGGCCACGGCGCCCAGGCCCGTGGTGGTGAACGTCGGGGAGGCTGTGCCCGCGGGGGCTGCCCTGC